CCACTTAGAGGTGGTGAAGAGTGGGGAGACTGCCAGCAGGGTTGAGGAGAGCCACATCTCTCCTCAGCTGGCCATTACTCCCTTTCCCGAAGGCGGTTGCAGCAGTGGTCAGAAATGGCCACCTCAAAGAAGAACTCAATCGGAAAAGAATGTGCAGGAGGAAGATAAGGAAAGTTTTGATTGACCGGGTTAAACTGCAAAAGCAACAACTAAGGTACCCTGGAATTTAAACTAAAAAAAAAGTAACATTGTTCCCAAAGATGATTTTGAAGCAGCGAAGGAGAGAGAAAAGGGAAAGGATTTGGGTTTTTTTCTTCTCTCCCTTTCCCTATACTGACAGCTAAGAGATCTAAATAAGAATTTGGAAAAAAAATCCACTTTGACATCAATAGGCATTTAAGCTGAAAATAAAATGTCAAAGGGATAATAAAGATTTCTGGATACTTAAAACCCTTTAAAAGCAGGAAAGGAGAGAAAAAGAATAAAAGGGCAGGATCTGGAAAAAAGGGAGGCTGCCTGAAATTAAAAGGAATTTACAGTAAAACCCCAACAAGACTTCTAAAAGATACATTTTAACTGAAACTTGGCTACAAAGTAGTAGAACCCCAGGAAGAGAAAGTGGAAAAAAGAAGCAAGAAGAAACAGCTTGGGAGTATTTGGATTATTTGGTGATCTCTGGATTTTTGGTTATTGCATTTGAATGACTAAAATCAATTGGGTGGTTGTTTAAAAGTGTTTTAAAATGGCACTACTTTTAGATGAACTGAAAATGGAACTTAAAAAACACAAAGAAGATGCACAAGAAGGGGGAGGTTCTTTTGGCTTCAATTCTTGATTTCAATTCTTAGAAATTGAGATTTCGAACTATGAGAAACAACAATAAATGCCTGCAGAACAAGAAGACTGGGACAAAGAAGAAGCCATCTTTAATGGACAAAGAGGAAGCCATCTTTAATGAACAACTAATTTTATGTGGGGGGAAAAAGGAAAAGGGGGAAAGAGAATGAAAAGTTTAAGATTTGAAAAAACAACCAAGAAAAGGAATAATAACTTGAAAAATAAGTATAATATTAGAAAGTAACAGAAGAGAGGAATACAGAAGAGAGAATTAGAACTAGAGAGACAAGGGGGTAAAAGGGGGAGGGAGAAGAAAAGAGGGAAGAAGGAAAGGAAAAGAAGTTATAAAGGACAGAAACAAGATATGGAGAAACAGGGCCTATTTAGAGATAATGGGTGAAAATTTAATTGAAAAAGGGATTCTACAAAGGTACATAAGATAGTATTGTTATATTAGAAATAGAAATTTTGGAAAATATGAAACAATGTATGATTAAAATGATGGATAAAATAGTTATTGTAATCTAGTGAAATGTTTGTTAATAAATGAAATAAAATGAATGAGAGAATTAGGAAAGGATGGGAACATTTTAATTATTTAATGTTTTATAAAATATAAGGGAAGAGAAATAAGGGGAAAAAAATAATTACGGAAAGCTTTTAAGTGTTCCCAAGGAAGTATGATATTTAATTGAAAAGTAATGTTAAAGATGTTAAGACTTTAATTAATATTAATGATAGAATTGAATTGGAATGGAATGAGTGTTTTAATTACATATATTTATAATCACTTTTTAAGAATATAGAGTGTATTTTAAGAATGTACCAAGCAGAATTTGATTGGAAGTTATGTATTATATTGAATGTTATAACCTCAAGGGTATATATTGAAGCTTAAATAAGAGTTGAATGGATAAAATTAAAAGATATAAAGGTGTCATAATCCAATTAGTAACTACAGGAGAAAAATTGTTTAATGAGAAAAGAAAATATGAAATTGAAACAGGACAGATAAAAGTATAAATATAATGATTTGAATTGATATGAGATAATTAAAATAAAATTGAGAAAATTAAGACAGGAGAAAAACTATGTAGAAAATGTAAAACAGTAATAAGATATGGAATAGAACATAAAAGTGAGTATGAAATTGAGTTTTTGTCTGTATGAAGAAGTGTAACCCGGGACCATGCTATTTTCAGAAAAAGATGTTTTATTTGTATTATGGTGTTGTTGTTTTTTTGTAAAAACCCAAATAATTTTTTTTTAAAAAAAGAAATATGAGCCAAAATAATACATGATGTGCTTAATGCTTTATGTAGTGGGTTCTTCTTAGTAAATATTCATCAGTTATTTGTGCTACATTCCAAAGCAATTTGGTTATAATCCACTGGCTAGCATGATAGGCTGACTGAACAGTAGTGTTGGCAAATATTTTTATGTTACTCTTCGTTTAATCAATTGGGACAAATGGGAGAACAGTGTCTACCATACTATGCAAATTTGAATATGATATACACGCTATAATCAGAAAAGAACATAATTCTTCTTTAGGGTAAAATAATATGTCTCTGGTTGCTGTGGAACAAACTTTTTGGGGCACCAGCAGAAAATTGATTTCTTCTTTAGGATCTAGTCAGTTAAATCTAAAATTTAATAACTTAGCAAATCAACATATGTGGAATAAAAAGAAAAGAAATCTGATTTACAAGATTTTTGCAAAAGCATACGTACAGTTTATGTTATAATTTTTCAGCCAAAAATTGGTATGAGTAATGAAGGATTCTCAGTCTCTAGATCATTACTTTGATTTAAAAAATGTAATTGCTAAATGGTGTTATTTTAAGATTATTTTTTAGATTCATCTATAAGCTTAAACGTTAGTAGCTTGTTTTATCTGTTTGTTAAAGATATTAATTCTTATTCTGTAAATGCTTGGGACAATTACCAAAAATGATTACTATTATTAACTTTCTGTAAACACAATCTCTAAATCAAGAATATTTGCAAAATAAAACAAAAATAAGGAATACTGTGTAAGTACTATTAATTGATGACAATATATTGTAGGTGTATTTTTTGTAAAAACAGCCAAAGGCAGCATTCTGAATAAACCCAAGCTAGTTAGGTCAGAGGTATTTAAGAGAAATGAAAGCATGTATGTCTCTCGTTACAGTCTTCTAATTCCATACTATTACAACTTTAAGAGCGTCTCGGCATTAACACAAAATATGATTCAGGACTGTGTGAACACGGGGACCACGAGTTTTATTTTGAATCTTGTTACTAGTTTGATGACAAAGAATGCTGCTGGTGTAAAGTCCTTTCAAGCTTTGGATATTGATCAACAAAATTCTTACAGGTTTTTGTGGTACATCAACAAGATGAACTAGTTTGCCTACTAACCTCTATTTTAATATTTAAATTAGAACAATACAACAATTAAAAAAGGTCAGTGCTTCTAGTGGTGATGTTCAAGCCACATCAAACTGAATATCTTCTAAAATAAAGATGCAAAAATCTACACTTCAGCATTGTAAGTGCAATACAGTGGCCTTCCATGAATAAAGGAACAGTGGCTTACTCACAATAAAAGCTTTGAATAAGGTAGATTGTTGTCATTTAGGTATCAGTTCTGCCTCTTTGATATAAAGTATATCATAAAAGCTTAAACTGATTACAATCTACATTCAACTAAAGTTTCACAATAAACTTAATGGAATGAACAATAAGAATGTACTCAATAGAAACACTTTCAAACCTAATGAAAAGAATAAAGGACAGAAAGTTTTTTTTAAATAACTGAACATATGTAGTGTGAATTAAGAAAAAAAGGACCCTCTGATTACTTGCACTGTTTTTAATGAACTCAAAGAAGTATAAAACTTAGTCCATATCCATTTCTTCAGATGATTTAGGCTGTTGGCAACTATCGTCTAATTTAGCGTCAGAGCTGCCTTGTCCATTCATTGGCCTGTTTTGTTCACTATTAGATTTTCCTTGATCTTTAGACAGTGGTTCTCCTTTGGACTTAGGTTTGTAAATAATTGGATTACATAAATTGTCCAGTTCCTATGAGGAAAAAAATAATTATAGTTACTATGCAAAAAAAAATGGCCTACGAAATTTATTGCAATGTAAAATACATGAAATAAGCTTAGTAAATTTATAAAATTGCTCATAATTAGAATATTAAACAACGCAATAGAGTACAAGTCGACATGAGTAGTCTCTAATAAGGAAACTTCCTTACATGTTCTTAAAATTTGAAAATAGAGGTGATTTTTTTTGACTGTTTTTTTCTCCCAGCAGAAAAAGCACATACACTGCTCAAAAAAATAAAGGGAAAACTTAAACAACACAATGTAACTCCAAGTCAATCACACTTCTGTGAAATCAAACTGTCCACTTAGGTAGCAACACTGACTGACAATCAATTTCACATGCTGTTATGCAAATGGAATAGACAACAGGTGGAAAGCATAGGCAGTTAGCAAGACATCCCCAATAAAGGAGTGGTTCTGCAGGTGGTGACCACAGACCACTTCTCAGTTCTTATGCTTTCTGGCTGATGGTTCGGTCACTTTTGAATGCTGGTGGCGCTTTCACTCTAGTGGTAGCATGAGTACAACCCACACAAGTGGCTCAGGTAGTGCAGCTCACCCAGGATGGCACATCAATGCGAGCTGTGTCTGTCAGCGTAGTGTCTGGCACATCAATTGCTGCGTCTGTCAGCGTAGTGTCCAGAGCATGGAGGCGCTACCAGGAGACAGGCCAATTTCTCAGGAGACATGGAGGAAGCCGTAGGAGGGCAACAACCCAGCATCAGGGCCGCTACCTCCACCTTTGTGCAAGGAGGGACAGGAGGAGCATTGCCAAAGCCCTGCAAAATGACCTCCAGCGGGCCACAAATGTGCATGTGGCTGCTCAAACAGTCAGAAACAGACTCCATGAGGGTGGTATGAGGGCCCAATGTGCACAGGTGAGCTTGTGCTTACAGCCCAACACCGTGCAGGACATTTGGCATTTGCCAGAGAACAACAAGATTGGCAAATTCGCCACTGGTGCCCTGTGCTCTTCACAGATGAAAGCAGGTTCACACTGAGCACATGTTACAGGGTCTGGAGATGCCGTGGAGAACGTTCTGCTGCCTGCAACATCCTCCAGCATGACTGGTTTGGCAGTGGATCAGCAATGGTTTCTTTAGGGGGGCGCACAGCCCTCCATGTGCTCGCCAGAGGTAGCCTGACTGCCATTAGGTACCGAGATGAGATCCACAGATCCCTTGTGAGACCATATGCTGGTGCAGTTGGCCCTGGGTTCCTCCTAATACACAACAATGCTAGACCTCATGTGGCTGGAGTGTGTCAGCAGTTCCTGCAGGACGAAGGCATTGATGCTATGGACTGGCCCGCCCATTCCCCAGACTTGAATCCAATTGAGCACATCTGGGACATCATGTCTCGCTCCATCCAACAACACCACGTTGCACCACAGACTGTCCAGGAGTTGGGGGATGCTTTAGTTCAGGTGTGGGAGGAGATCCCTCAGGAGACCATCTACCACCTCATCAGGAGCATGCCCAGGTGTTGTAGGGAGGTCATACAGGCACGTGGAGGCCACACACACTACTGACCCCCATTTTGACTTGTTTTAAGGACCTTATATCAAAGTTGGATCAGCCTGTAATGTTTTTTTCCACTTTAATTTTGAGTGTAACTCCAAATCCAGACCTCCATGGTTTGCTTGATTTCCATTGATAATTTTTGTCTGGTTTTGTTGTCAGCACATTCAACTATGTAATGAGCAAAGTATTTAATAAGAATATTTCATTCATTCAGATCTAGGATGTCTTATTTTTGTGTTTCCTTTATTTTTTGAGCAGTGTATATTATGATGAACAATTTTAACACTAATAGATTAATAGAAACCTCTTCCATCAATGGAATAAAAAATTCATGGATCAAACCATATTCTTCTGATTTAAATATACTGTTATGCTATCATCTGAATTTAACACTTGAGAACTAATTTGGAATAGGGGTTAAAGAGCTGGCCTACAAATCAGGATACTGTAAGTTCCAGGCCTTCCTTAGGCATGCAAGCCAGCTGGATGATTTGGAGCAATCTCTCTCAGTCCAACCGACCTCATAGGGTTGTGGTGTGGGGAAATGGGAGGCCTATATAAAAAGGTAGGATAACATCATCATTATAACCTGTTTACATATGAACAGGAATAGCAGATTGAACTATGCCATATAAATTTCTGTGGAAAATTAAGGAATATCTATTTGCTATAGTTCTCTTTTGCCAAAATATATTTGTGTCATGATATCATTTGAAATACTAAGCTATTCTGGGCTAATTCATCCTATTTTTCCATTAGAATAATTCAATCCCAAAGTTAATTTACCTTAGATTTTGCTTTTATTTCTGCCACCTTAATAATAGGATCCTGTGTCAAATTCAGTCTGTGCTGTATATGCATTTTTGAGCTCAGCCAGTTCATAGTTTCACTGGCATATTTTTCAACCTTTTCCATATCAACAGGATCAATGTGATCATATTTTTTATCCTACAGAGAAAATATTTAAAATTAATATTCAACAAGTTAGTGATTTCATAATGATTTGTTACTTGAACAAAAACATTCTGTTTATGCCAGATAATTATCAATTTAAAGGAATTTGAAAATACAGCCTCATTTATTGTTTGGCTTTAGAAATTCCTGTTCCAAGTGCAGCTGGAGTATTGGTATCACATGCCAAAATTATCTTATATATTAATTCTGAAAATTAGATTTCAATTTTATATACAAAATTAGAAAATGTCCATATAATGAGGATTATGAACAATTATTATTAAAAACACATGCTATACCCCACCTTATTTTCATATTCTTCTAGTGTTTTCATAAGCATCTGGAGTTTATTTTCTAAATCAAATAAAGCTTTTGGTCTTTCTTCATATTCCTTATATCTATCATGAACAGGGCCACCAAATTTCTAGAAAAAATATTGCAGAAGTACTCATTAAAATATAGAAAAAATATAAATGAAGATAAAATATTTAATAATTGATCAGAACTACTTATAAATGACTAGTCACTATATGAAAGAAACCAATAGATCACATATGACAGCCAACAAGCCTATATCTTAATTGTGTGGGAATACTAGAATTCCCATTATATGGGAGGTAGTCGAGTTCCTGGCTTAAAGCAGGAAATCCAATGCTTCTGTCTCATATATTCGGAAAATCAACTTTGAACAAAGCAAAGAATAGTTAAGAGGAAAATATCCACACAGATTCTCATGCAAATACAGGTCATGTGTCTTAAGGATGCTGTAATGGATTAATATGGACCAAATGTTTTGGCTTCCTCAAAAATACTTTACTTGATGGATCCATGACAGAATAAAACCTATAACATCTCTGTCAAAAGCTCAATATTTTTAAAGTAGACATCTTTGTTTTAAACATTGTCTATTCAACTGGAACTTCTCATAAAGCCACATCAGTGGCTTCATGTTCTTAGAATGTTTTAATTGTATCTGTAGGTTTGAGATTAAGACTGATCCATCAAATATGTATTTAGGGTGTACAGAACTCTTCAAAGAATCTATTTGAAAGGATGGACATCAATTTTTGTGTGCTGGAGGTATAAAGAAAATTGAGGATCCTTATCCATATGATATAGCCATGTAATCATTTGGCATCTTTTTGGAACTGTGAATAGATTTATGAAGAAATCTTTAGTATTTAAAATATTTTAATAGTTTACATGTTAATGTAATCTTGAATTATGTGCTAAAGCTTTGGTATTTGACTTTATAAAGAACTGTTGAACCTGAGTGTCTGTCTGTCTGTCTGTCTGTGTGTGTGTGTGTCAAAAATTAAGAAAACAAAAGTGGTATTATTCCAGATGTCATGGAAAGACCGTCATAAATGTGTGATCTGTTTTGTAAAAGATATTTTCTACGAATCAATGAATGTAGCAATATGTTAATGGCAGATTCTGTGATATTTTACAATATCTTATTTATAATATAGGAGTGAATTCATTGATAAATCAGTCTCTCTCTCCCCATTGGAATGTTAAGGCTACAATCTTGATGATGTAATTGAACAAATGACATAAAAATATGCTAAGCTCATTGAATGGCTATATGACCTGCTTCAACGACACTCTAAATGCAAATGACCAGCTGTTTGCAAGGAGTATAAATCCTTCCATTCCCCACCATCCAACAGAATTGAAGAAGCTTCTTGGATGAGAAGTGAAACATCTTCAAAGATAAACAACGTCCAGTTGCCTCTTGAAAAAGCACCACTGGGACAATGGAAAGCTTACTTTCATTTCCTGAAGTTTTTCCACATATACATGTTTTGGTTGGTCCTCTCCATCTTCATAAAGCCAGTTTTCTATATCCTCTAACATTAATGTTATTTTTCTTGAATCCTAGAAACAAAATAGAACAACATATAGTTCAGTGATTTTTATCATTTCAAACTAGTGAAAAAATAGAAACAATAATATTCTGCTACTTACACTGAGTTATAGTAATAAGATTATATAACCAAAACATCTTCTGTAAACTGTTATTTCTACACCATTAAGAACAAATAACTGTAACTGCAATGCTATTTAATATTTTAAAAAAGTAAACTAGGAGGCAAATAATACATCTACTAGAAGTGTATAAGTATATAGTATAAAGTGTTTTCTTGGTTTTAGTTATTTCAGGAATATCATAGTCTAGCTTTAAGTCCCTCCTTCCACACATTCTGCATCAACGCTTGTGATAAATGTTAATAGTTAGGCAAATCTAATATAAATATAAACTAGATCTAAATCTAATGGTTAATTTATCAGCAACACGGGTAGACTGTAATTCCATTTAAGCTTTTGTCATAGAAATATCTAACTGGTTTAATTCTATACGTAATAATGACAATATATCTAGAATTTACTAAATTTAAGTCTGTATTGGGAATACACCCTACTTTCCTTGCCAAAGTGTGTAGAAGATTTTAATAAATGTAATATCAATGTTTATATTTCTGTAGGTACATTGTAACACTAAGAACATGGAAATTAAAAAATTGAAACAGACATTAAAACAAGATAGCTTTGTTTGAATGCTTAAACAAGCAAAGACAATTTTAATGTAAAGGATTGAAAACACCTACATATATGAATATGTTCTTTAAAAGTTCAGCATTTACTAAGAGAATGAAGGATTGTAATCAAAGGAAATCCTGCCCGCTAAGCCACCAATAATTCATGTAGAGGTGAATGAATTCAACTATGATGAGAAAGATTATTTTTTATTCCCTCCTGCTTTTTTCTTCTTTTGATTATTGTTCATGCTTCTGCTACCAGAATGGAACATTTCTATAAATTATTCTGCCCAATACAATGGAAACGATGGTACTAAAGGACAAGAAAGGAAGGCTTGATCCTTGCTTCTGGTCTTGAATGCCTGGCAGTAAGGAAGGCAACAATGTCCCTGAAGGCCTCCAGGAATATAGTTTAATGACTATACTTTAATCATTAAAACAGTAATTTTATTTTCATTTCCTTCTTAAATAGGTTTCAGTGTAACTTTTAGTTTAATGGAGATCTATCCATAGTCTTTCTTGGTGTGTCAGTGAGGAAAACACCTTGAAGGATTAGAAACTTTTAAGTAATAAAATGGAAAAATTTAACTCTTCCCTCCCTCCCACAAAAAAAAGAAAGAAAAACACTTCAAAATCCACAGATCGTTAAAAATTAATGTGAAACTTATGAGGAAATCTAGTAAAGTCTAGGAGCATTTGAACTGATTTATAAAGTAAAATAGTTATAATCAATAGAACCTCAAATTTATCTTAATTAATTTATCCCACTGATTTTAAAGGGTTATTGACAATATAATTAGAAATATAACTGGAATCAATTCACTGCAATGTTTTATTACAGATACAGCCATTTTAATATTAATGTTATTTTAAAGGACTTTATTATGTTACAGTTTCATGAGAATTCTTACATCTTCAGTTATGAATTTTTCATAGACACCACAAAGCTTATCTCTCAAATCATACACATATTCTTCAACAGCATTTTTCGCATCATTTTTCTCCTTCTCCAAAATGTCTTGCATTATCATCTTCCGCTGCAGCAGATAAAAGAATTCAGATAACTTAATCACAAATATAAAACACAGTTGATTTTTTCTTGAAAAACATCTATATTCTTCCACCCCAAATTACTGGATTTACAAGTAACAATTAGAACTAATTTTTCTTTTCTGCACTGATACGATTGTAATTATTTCACATCTATGATTCAAGATTTCTGCAGCTGCTTACCTCATTTTCAATGTAGCAATTAATAAGATCCTGGTCAACCTGTCTGTATAAGTTAACATGGATAGGCAGATCAATGCACTTGATCTTTGTTTTGCTTGATTGATTTGCATCAATCTTGTCTCCTGAAGCAGTCTGCAGAATAAGAAATTAAATTATGTAATCATAACATTTGTTTCCATTGCACATAATGATAGAAATCTGCTGAAAAAAATAAATTCACCCTGAAGTGTTTTAGACTAGCAACCAAAGACCAGTCCACACATCAATTTCTTCAAAGGTTATATACGACAAATATCCACCCTACTTCTACATAAATAGGAATCTTTTTAACATACAACTTTTTAACATGTGAAAAGGAAAGTATATCATCTCTGATTTTAATGGTTTTACAAATCAAGATATAGTAAAAATCATCTGGTCCTTAGCCATTTTCAAAAGTAATAAATACAACCTTAGATGAAAAAATACATGACATATTATACACCATTACAAAAGAAAGCCAAATGGAGAAGCCATGTGTGAAAAACTAAATACACCTTATGATTCAATAGCTTGTAGAACCACCTTTGTAGCAATAACTTAAAATAACTATTTTCTGAATGACTTTATCAGTTTCTCACGTTGTGGAGAAATTTTGGCCCATTCTTTTTTATCACGTTGCTTCAATTCAAAGCTCTTTTGAAGTCCTGCCACAGCATCTCTCTCGAGGTCTGGATTTTGGCTGAGCCATTGCAATTCCTTGACTCTTTTCTTTTTTCAGTCATTCAGTTGAAGGTTTGCTGTTGTGCTTGGGATCATTGTTCTGTTGCATGACCCAATGTCAGCTACCTTTAACTCTAGACAGATGGCCTCACATTTGACTCTAGGATACTTTGGTATACAAAGAAGTTCAAAGTTGACTCAATGACTACAAGGTGCCCAGGTTTAATGGCTATAAACAAGCCCAAATCATCACCCCTCTGCCACTGAGCTTGATGATTGGTATGAGATATTTATGCTGATATGCTGTGTTTGGTTTTCGACAAATGTGGCACTGTGCGTTATGGCCAAACATCTTCACAGACATCTCCAGAGTCTCGTCTGTCCAAAGGACAATGTTTCAGAAGTCTTGTGATTTGTTCAGATGCAACTTTGCAAACCTAAGCCATGCTGCCATGTTCTTTTTAGTGAGAAGAGACTTTCTCCTAGCAACACTTCCAAACAAATCATTCTTGTTCAGTCTTTTTCTAATTGTACTATCATGAACTTTAACATTTAATGTGCAAACTAAGTCCTATATAGCAGAGCTCCCCAACTTTTCTGGCTTTGTGGAAGCCAGCAGTGGGGGAAGGGGATTGTTTTGTGCAAGTGGCTGGCAAACACACACAAGCAGCACCTTTTGTGCAAGTGGTATGCATGTGTGCCTGCCACTCATGCAAGTGGAGCACATGTGCATATGCTTGCCCTCTGCTTACGCATGTAGGAATGCATTGCATTCACCTGCCATTTCCACAGCCCGGTTGCAAACAGCTCACGGCCCACTAGTAGGCCATGGCCCAGAGGTTGGGGCCCCCTGTTGTAGAGTCTGAGAAATAACTCATGGACTTTTTGTGATTTCTCTGAGAATTGCACGGTTTGACCTTGGGGTGAATTTGCAGGTATGTCTACTCCTGGGAAGACTGACAACTATTTTGAATGTGTTACCACTTGTGAATAATTTTCCTCACTATAGAATGATTGGCTTTGAGTTGTTTGGAAATGGCCTTATAACCCTTCCCAGATTGATAGGCAGTAACAATTGCTGCTCTTAAGATCATTGCTGACGTTTTTCCTCTGTGGCATTGTGTGGGACACCAGCAAACTCATAAAACTTCAGCTTTTATATAGGCAGTCATACTTGCTGATGATTGATCAAGCTGTTACTTAGTCTCTTTATCCTTATGGAAGCGGTAAGGATGTACTTTACTAGCTTTTCACACATGACTACTTCAGTTTGGCTTTCTTTTTAGAAATGACATAGAATGATGTGTATTGTTCATCTGAGGTTGTATTTAATTTTAAGAACTGATAAGGACTAGATGATTTTTGCTATGTCCTGCTATGTAAAAACCATAGAACTCAGAGTATATTTCCTTTTTCACATGACTATAAGTGAAAATGCCAACATGTCAAAACATGGCACACTATCTTTTAACATTTCCTAGCGCTATCAAAAGAGAGTCCTAACATTAGAATCCGATTTTATCATAATTTCATACATACCTTTCCTTCAGTACCTATATGATCAGTTTCCTCATCTGTTTGACTTTGTTCTATTTGGCTCTTTTGATTACCATCATCTTGATCAATCTGCATTTTAGCCTATAAAATAGAAATTTTTAATTCCACACTATACTTTATGGAAAGTTTTATTATTCTTGTCAACTGGCAGTAGCTTTTCACAATCCAACAAGGTAATCCAGTAAAAATGATTTCAAAATACAAATCAATGCTGCTAAATTTTGTTTATTTTTATTTATCACATTTTGTAACCACCTATCTTCCTCACAAAAGGACTCTGTTCTTGAGGTACACTATTCCCCTACCTCCATGGTTTTTAGGAAAAAAAATATTGAGGTTATTGGGGGGGGCAATGTGTGTGCCTTTGAATCAGTCATAACTTCTGGCAACGTAATGGACAAATCCATGCAGTTGTTTTAGCAATACTTTTGGAATAGTTTGTTACTGCCTTCTTAATAAAAGATTATTCAGTTCCTTTAACAAGGTTACTGTAAGGAAGTGTTCATGACCGATAAATAATTGTGGCTATGAAATTCAGTCTAATTACTTAACAATACAATTCTAATTATATATTACTGAGATTCTACTAATAATAATACTAATCAGATATTAAAAGTAAAACAACCCTCTTCAAACAAAATGTTCTATAAATAATAAAGGATGGAGTTTATTAGAAAAGAATCATAAAATCTTAAATGAAATGAAAACAGTAAGCAGAACAATAGGGTAGAAAGTTGAAAATAATCTCTAGAATTAACACCTTAAGAATTCACAAGCTTGAAGCAGAACATCACTATTCATTTATGAAAATGTATATTCCCCCTCCCGCCCCGCCATAAAAAAATTAATTCACTCTCCATGACTGGGTGGCTTACAAAGATAAGTGGTGGTTAGAATGCAGTATTGCAGGCTAACTCTGAGCAGTCTGGAGTTCAATCCTGCTGGGGCTCAAGATTGACTCCGCCTTCTATCCTTCTGAGGTCAGTAAAATGAAATTGTTGGGGGCAATATGCTGATATTATAAACAGCTAAGAGAGTCTAATTGCTATTAAAAGCACAGTATAAAAACAATAAAAAGCAATCAGCCCTTCCCAACAACAGTCAATTACATGACTCCATTCAATCAAAAAGCCACTTGATGCACTGCACCCCACTCTGGGTTCCCCAAGCCATATATCATGCTTCTAGGATTTAAGTCAAAAATTATTCCAATATTTTTCAATAGTTTATTTTTAATGTACACAGGCACCATTATTATGCTCAATTGCTAGCCAACATCTGAAGTGGAAACATTTTTGCTATAATTATAAAGTACTTATATTTTTATAGGGACATGCAACATAAATAATACACTAATAGAATGATCCAGGAAAAGTCACTGCTGTTTTGTAGAGTTGCCAATATGTGCTATATGAGTAGTCCTATATGCTTTGAGTCGGGGTTGTTGTTTTTTTTGCTTCAAACCCCGCAAAATGTTAAGACTTTAATAACTAGTATATCTACTAGAAAATCTTTGTTTACCATCTTTATATCCTACTGTATACTCAAAAAAGTACCCAAAATTTAGACCTTGCTATCTTCTGCTTACTGAATGTTATATACTGTATTTCACATCCATCTCAGAGTAGAGAGGTTGCATCTTCACTTATGAAAGGTGTCAATACTCCTCAACATACCAGAAAATAGTTAGCAAATATTTGAGAGGAACCAAGGCTTAAGCATTAAAATGGCTACATTATTATCCTTTCAACTCTTTATCCACTTCGTTACTCACATTTGCATTAGCAATATTCAATTTACAATATTTTCTGTTGCTTTGGCATGCTTCTAACAGATTTGCTGTAAATTTGTTTAAATTAACTATTGTAAAACTTCTATGGAAGCTAAGGAGACATATTTACAAATAACTAAGCATATGTATAGTTTTATAAGAGTTTCTCAATATAATATCAAAGATATAGCCATTATTAGTGCAGAGAAAGAATGAATAAGTATACATGTTTATAAAAGCAAGGAATATAAGAAAGATTAAAGATAGTAAGCAAGTTAATTTATATGAGATAGGAAAAAATATTGAAAGCACTAGGATTAAAAAACGTTAAATTATTCAAACAATTCGTAATTAATGGATTTTCAAGATGAAAATTCTTAAAGACAAAAAGTAAAAAAAAAAAACACCACTGCATTTAGTTAGCACAGTACATACCACAATTTAGAATTAAGAATTCTATTTATAGTTTTTACATACTAGTTCATCTTTGCTTTGATTCCTACATGACAATTCTGTGTCCATTGGAATATCGTTAGGCTCATTGTCCAAATTTTGCTTCTCTACTACAGATGCATTAGCCACACTGAAGATTCCATGGATATTAACTCGCACTTTAACTTTAACTTTTGAATTATCACCATCGTTTTGGGGACCAACATTTTGAATAACAAAATGGCCTAAAAAACACAGTAATATGGCACCGGTTAGTACACTTACTTTATATCAAACATATTACAAAAACATTTATACTTATACAAAAACATTTATCACTTATTGTTTTTAATGATGGTTTGAAGCAATGATGCCTCAGATTGTGGCCTCACCTCCAGTCACGTGATTGCAACTTGAGCACTTAGCAACTGGCTCCATTTACAATGGAGTCAAGTAATTGTAATCTGCCCAGCCAGCTTCTGAGAAGCAATACCAACTGGCCAAGCCAGAATCACTTAATGACCACATAATTTACATAACGACTGCTGTGATTTGTTTAACTACAGTGATAAAAATAGTAAAATAATCAGTTCTGCTCACATGATCACTTGCTTAGCAATCACACCGCTTAATGACCAAATTCTTGTCCCAATTATTATTATAAGGTGAGGATACCTATATACATAGATCTTTGATGGGCAACTTCTTCAAATGGCTGCTACTGCAGCTATGGCTGAATAATTGAAAGCTACCTAAAGCCAATTTAGTAAGGGGGGAGGCATAGAAGTTTAATAAATAAATAAGTAAAATAAATGATAGATAGACATTAAGAAATAAAAGTGAAGAGGCAACACAATAATTACAATAAATAGCAAACCATATCTATTTGATGGTTATGAAGGCTTGATCAACATATTACAAACTCAGTGCCAAGCCCATCCCTAAAATCTAATTGAAAATAACAGAGATAATCAGTTTCCTCCAGTGCTCTAAGCAACAGCATTCTATTATTTCTCTATAACCTTCTCCAGATGGGACATAAGGAACATATAAACATTTGCCCAGCACTATTGATTTCAGCAATGGTTTCTTGAACAGGAGAAGTACTACTGACTCATTTAAAGCAGGCAGCATCTTTCCTTGACTCATTCACTAACTCCCAACCTGATTACTTCACTGAAAGTTCTCATTGATCAGGGATGGCAGGGATCTAGATTACAGGTGGCCAGGCTAATGCTACACAGATCTATCTCTGGTTCAAACCCATCCCAGATAACATTACAAGACTTAAGTGATTCACCTCAACAAAAATAGCTCATCTAGCATCCAACTCTAAATGGATCTAGAGGGGGCCTTCATCCTTCAGATGCTTAGAATATTCCTCATGACAACCCTGTAGCAAGTTTCTAGCCCATCCCTTTCAAGTAGGTTCTGGGTTGTAGGTAAAGGTTTGAACATGTGCTGCAATTCAGAGTAATTTTTTATTTTCCATCAGTGGTATTCTAGGCAACTCTTCTGCCATTTTATATTTGGAACTCCTTAATACACTGCGGAACTTCCTTCGATCAGTGGCCAAGGAGAAATTTTTTTCAGGGGATATCCTACCCAAAGCTACAACCACATTCTCATTCCAGGAAGCAAACTCCACAACTGTCCTCTGGGTCCTGAGTGGTTCTATCAGAAGCCTGTTATTTACATACATTTGCACATCACTTCCATTGTTTTATATATGTAGTCATCAGGAAATAAGATCAAGCATCTATTTAATTAGACCTTATTGAAAAGTTCTATGCCATAACACTTATACAATAAACTAATTATCAGAAACTATAATTCATCCTATCACCTTTATCTGGGCAATATGAAGTACTATTGTCACTAGACCACATTTGAGCATATCGGCAAAGAAAAATGACTACCACCCTCTCGTTTAGTTCCTAGCAGTCCAAAGATGCCAGGAACTGTACTACATAAAAATAATTTTGGGGATCTGTAAAAATCAATTAAGAATTGTTGGTTACTGTGACCTATGCATTCATTTCAGAATGTATTTTATTTCTTGCACAAGTGTATCATATAATAGGAAAGTTATACTTTAAAATAAAATCAAGATAACACTCTGATTGTTTTACACAGTGGTAAGTAATAACAGAAATATCAGAAAAAAAACATTTTCAATTTATCTCCATCCTAGATTGGGATAATCAATAGTTAATGGACTTCCTTTGAAATGAGTTTGTAATATGTTGATCAAAGTTTTCTGTCCACCAAACAGATCTAGTTTGCTATTGTGTTCTCCCCACCACCCCACCTCCCCGATATTTTTCCAATTTATTAGTCTAGTTTATAGCTCCAAAATTCTTCTGTGGCCATCCATCTAAATATTAAATGGCCTCATCCTATCTAAGCTTCTATATTCAGCCATATTTATCCAAATGAGTGATGTAAATATAATTCAAATCTAAAATGCTTTGAAAAAAACTGTTTGATATAGCAGTTATGTTACCAAGCTAGATATCGGAAAACTGAGCTTTAGTCCTGTCCTAGGCACAAATAATCTGGGTGTCCTTGAGCAACTGACTCTTGCTCCATCCTAAAAAAAAGGCAATGACAAACCAATTTCAAAATCTTGCCATGAAAACTGCCAGAACATGTCCAGGCAGCTAGTAGCCATAGTGATTGTTTCAATCTTGTTGGAAATGTTCCAGCCATAGCTTAAGCAGACATTAAGAGCTGAAAGCACAGTTGCTTAGTTGCACTCATTCAATAAGGGCACAATAGGATACTCCAAATCCAGAATATTTGTATACCTACAATCAACAACTGCTAAGTAAAAGAAAATACAGGTGGTCCTCAGTTAATGAGAGTAATTGGGACCAGAATTTATATTGCTAAGCAATGTATTTGTAAGGTGTGATATGACTGTGCCACTTGTTGATAGCAAACCCTAGTTACTAATAAGCAACATATGCAGAAAAGTACAAAATATATTAAAGCAAAACAACTAAGAGCATTGTCCACATAAAACAAGGCATTAGTAATTAAAACTGTTATTTTATAAATCTATTAGGTGAAGATTCTCATAATTTGAAGCAAATCTTTTAAAAGGTTTTTGTTGTCATGCTCAGCAAATAACAAAAACATTTACCTATTCTTGTATCAGGATAAGGAACATCATGAGGATGTGTATAAAATGCTTCCAGTTCAAAAGGCTCTTTTTTGTGGAAAGTAATAACTTTTGAGAATGGAGAAGCATGAGTTTTGCTGAAGACTTCACATTCACTATAGAAAAGAAGAGTGCTTATAATTTAAATTCAAAAAGAATTACAAATAATGAGAATAGGAAAGTAGTCACAATGTATCTTGTGATACTAATTATCTGAAACCAGTGAATTAAAGGCTGACTCTTAAAACCATTGATTACTTCAATATTATAATTGTGTATAATCAATACTTCATAATAAACCATCCATTATGAATCTTACTTTCACAAAACTAATAATTTTGAGAGGAAGTTATATAACACATTAAATATTAATGTAGTAGAACCTCTTTAAAGGTAACAAGCTAGGATATGTACAACTCAAGACTTAGACAAACACTTTATTCTATAGGAAGATGAGAGGAATTCACTTAAAAATTAACCACAGAATGGCCTCCACTTGCAAGTCTTTGCAATTAACAAGCAGCGTACACAGACACACACATACATGCACTTACACACAACAAGGGGGAAAGAGAGAGAGAGAGATAAACTCTAAGATAAACTCTAACCCCTGCTTTAAATTCAAAAAAGTTAAATTAACTTTAAATTGCTTCTGCAGGTACATTGAGGATGAACTGAAGACGAATGAGGCTACATAAACTGAATAGCAAAGTATATAGCAGAGTTAGTATGGCATGAGAATAAACCCAATATGTTCCCTTAGTTCTCTTGCATTTCTAGAATAGTCAGGGAGAAAGAGGAGAGTAGTATAGTTATAGTCCTTACTACTTGAGTGGAGAGGAAGGAAAGGGGATGGAAACAGAAAAGATGAAATCAGCAGAAGTCGGTCAAGATATTCTGTTGCTTGAGACAAAACAGCTATCTGTTTTCCCAATATGCGTAGTATGTAAAATTGGCTAACGTACTTTGAAGTACAAGATAAATGTACTGGATTTTTTTTTCCTGGAAGCAAACATATTAAAAAAAAAACAATTCACTACTGTCATGACCTTAAACTCAGCAAAGGACTGCCTTTCTCTTTCCAATTAAGTCCCTTGGGGGGATTTTTAAAAAAATGCACTTAACACTGAGTTGACTCTCAAGCCCAGCAGAAAATCAGAAACAAGTAAAGTCATGTGAAAAAGAAAATATACCCGCATTGAGTTCTATGGTTTTACATATCAGGACATAATAAAAAGATTATTCACAAGTGGAAAGACAGTTTCCAATCTTCCCAGGGGCAGACATCTCAGCAAATTCACTCTAAGGTTAAACTATACAATGCTCAGAAAATTGCAAAATATCCAAGAGTTACATCTCAGACTCTACAGACTTTAGCATATTAAACATTAAAGTTCATGACTGTACAATTTAATTTTTTTAAAAAAAGACTAAGGAAGTATGGTTTGTTTGGAAGAATTGCCAGAAGAAAGCATCTGTCTAAAAAGAACATGGTCAGCATGGCTTAGATTTGCAAAGTTGCATCTGAACAGATTACAAGACTTCTGAAACACTGTCCTATGAACAAACTACACCAAAGTGGAGATGTCTGGCCATAATGCACAGTGCCATATTTGGTAAAAACCAAACACGGCATATCAGCACATCTCATACCAATCATCAAGCAGTGGTGGTGAAGTGATGATTTCAGCTTGTTGAACTGAAGCAATGTTGTAAAGAAGAGTGGACCAAAATTCCTCCACAACTCCGTGAGAGACTGAGAAAGCCATAAAGAAAACGATTACTTCAAGTTGCTGCTAAAGATGGTTCTGCAAGCTATTGAATCCCAAGGATACTTTTCACACATGGCTTCTCCATTTTTGCTTTCTTTTTGTAAAATAAATGATGACATGGTATAATATGTCATGTGTGGTTGTTCATCTGAGCTTGCATTATCTATTCTTAAGAACTACTAAGGACTAGATGATTTTGCTATGTCCTGATACATAACATCATAAAACTTTTGTCAAAAAAGATGTACTTTCTTTTTCACATGTCTGTATATTTCTGAATACTTAGAAGAACAAATAGTTATGTTAAGCTTCAAAATTATTCTATCCCAATGCATAATTATGTTGCCTTCTCATCCCTCAATGAACATGAATGTCATATTCATAGAAAAGATGAGATGAGAACACCTAGTCTTTGCCTGAATGGATTTTGGAAATGCTCACTAAAAGGAAAGTGAGAAAAATGCTTACCATAATGTGAATAGCAAAAGTATTGTGGGAGTCTGGTCTCCAGGGAAAATAATAACATGAAGAATTGTATTTCTTTATAAGTTAAAGAATTTATGTCATAGTTTTTCATGTTTAAATCAGGGGACTCGTTTATAATTCATCCAGATATACTTCCACAAAGTTAACAAATCTAACCTACTTTTGTTTATAGATATACTATCTACTTAGTTCTTTCATATTTTTAAATCTCAAAACTCTTACCCTGTTCCTTCCTCAAAAGATGATTGCCACCTCAGAGTAATTGAGTAAGGAACAACATCTGTGATGGAAAATTCACGGACTTTAAACGCTGGGGACAGAATTGCACACTAGAAAAGAAATGGAGTATCACTCAGACATGTGTCTGCTACACATTTATTTTATTTATGAGATACTAGTCAACTACATTTTAACTTCACAATTATAAAGCCTAAGAAAATTTGTTGTAGCAAAATCAATATTCTTGGAGATGACTAATAATGTTTTTCTGTGATCAGAAAAATCATACAAGAGATGTGACATTGCTCACAAACAGCTCAGCTGTTTCAGAGAACAGATTAGGATTAGTCAAAATGATTAATTAAAATATGTATAATTTAATTTCTGTTAAATTGGTTAAGTAGCTATGTTACGTTCAACTCTTTAATGTGAAGATTAATGTAATTATAGCATGCTTCTTTTGATAAATTTGCAAGGCCAAGAAATTTAAATAGTTATACTGAACAGAAAAACAGTTAACACACCTGTAATGCACAACCCCTTGCAACAGCTTCATCTGCATTTAATGTGGTACTTATCTCTTTACAGAAAAAATTGCAAATCTGTTCCTTCACAGCTGGAATACGAGTTGCTCCACCTACTATTTCTACACTGTAAATATCTTCACGCTGTAATTCTAGGAGGCAAACAGGAGATAATTTGTTTTTATGGATGAAAAATATAATCAGTTTTAGAGGAAATGGGTTCACTTGGTGGAGAGACTTCAAGAATGGAAGCAGTTTCTCTATCATACATTGGCATGTCTCTTCTGTTAACATTAAAACCTACTTAATATTGATTGAAATTCTGTTTAAAAAATGTACTTATAATTCTTATAGGTAATTGGGCTCTAAATCTAAGTATTAGATAAGCATGCTAAATTAACAGTAAGAAATTAATGCCACATATAGGAAGAAATCTGATAGGTTCCAGAGCCTAGCAAAAGTGAATACATAATGTAAATAGATAATAACAAAAATAAATAGGTATAGTATGCAGTACTAAATTGGCAGTGAAGATTAACAGCTGGAAAAGGCTGTTTGATCTGTTCAGTTTCATTTAAAAAAGATAACAAGACTTCCCCAAAATGATTTACATGCCTTCCTTGGCTCTCTAAAGGGACAGATATAAAAGTAAGGAAAGCAGGTATATTGAATAATCTTTCTCTAATATTAACTTTTGGTTTTCAACCAAGGACTAAGTTATTAGGATTTCTGATGTCCAGGTTGCAAATGTTCATGTTTCTGAAACCAAAACTGATATCCAGTAGAAGAAAAGTCTAAGGAGGTTTATGACAACTCCAACTTCTATAGAAATGGGGATATTTTAACAAAAATAAAGCAATTCAAGTACAAGGGCTCAAAACAGTCCTATAGAAGAAAAAATTGTTCAATGGCCATGAAATGATCAGTGGCTGTTTGAGCAAAATGGACTATAAAGAAACTAGAATCTTAAAAAAGAAGCATTTCACACTGCAGCGTTTTAAAGCAAACTTCACTTGTTTTGCTCTACTCTGATTTCTACTTCTTTTATGATTATGATTGGAATAGGAAAAAAATGGAAGCATTTATGATAAAATGCTTGTCTTCAGATTGTCTGCACTTAAACCATTATCAGTGGAAATAAAAACCATCAGAATCTTAAATGAGCTTTGGGATCATCTGGAGACTGAAAACACAGATATCCTATATTGAACTTATACAATATAACCAGAAGTTAAGTTCAGAACACTGTGCTCTGCTAGTGCATGGAACAATATTTCAAAGTGACGGCCAAATAGTGAGCATCCCCATTCAACATATGAACTATAGCAAATTAGTGACTATTGACAAGTATAAAATATAAAATAGGGTTTTTTCCCCATAGTTTTGATTGTTTTCATCTGTTTTCATCTTCTACTGTACATTTGTGCCTGCTACTTGACTACAGCATCCTGTCTCTACAAAGTCTATGAATCCCAAGGACCTGTTACTTAATTCTAAGACTCTTTTCTTGAGATTCATGATTTTGGTTGCTTATTCAGTGTTAGATCTGAATCTCTATATGTACAGTCTAGCTTTCCTTTCCTAATCTATCAAATTTTCCTTCTAGCACATTTTTTCTTTTCTTTCCAAACCAATAAAGTATGTACATGGGCTAGGACTCTGTCCATTTGTCTGTCCATTAGCATGATAAGAGTCTAAAAATTAAGTAGAACAGGATCATATTTGGTGTGAAAAACTGAATAAAAGAAAGATCAAGTTCAAAAATAGGCTGGATCTACAGCATAAAAAAAATTCCACAAAATTTCCACAAATGCATTCCTTAGGAAAGAGGCAATAGGGCAGCTGCTCATCATGTTATCCAACTCCTGCAATCTTAGAACCCATCCTTCCTCTTTGTCACATGATAGAACAAAATTATAATGGGTGGTTGGTGGAATTCTAGAAGCCACATTTTGCATGTTTTTCTTCACTTGTTTAATTCCTTACCTATTATAGTGGATGCTATTTTTGTAGATAATAATTATCCCTTAGGTAATTATTTTCCCTTATCTTCATAGCATCTTTTCTGCACTTGATACTGTAGAATCACACATACCCAACTTTATAAGAACCCAATACCAAAATATTTTTTCAATTTTCATAGACATTAAATAATTAAAGAATATTCAATATGATAGGCATGACCTACAGTAGCAAGCAGAAACCTTTACGTTAAAAATAAGCATGCAAAATAAGCTGATGCAGCATTTACTTACTAGCTTGTTCCATCACTGCTCTCAAAGGAGGTTCTACTCTGGCCAGAAGAGATACACACAATTGTTCAAACTGAGCCCTATTTTGAGAAATGAATATTAAATATTTCAGGCATATAAAAGATCATCTCATAATTCCCACTTTGTACAATGAATATGATACCTGTTCATTTTGCTAGAGACATCAACGTCATTCATAAAGCATTCTATGTTTACTGGAAGATCAGAAGTATTTGCACTCATCAGCTTCTTCAGTTTTTCACATTCCTGGTATAACCGTAGCAATGCTCGACCATTGTCCTTAACATTAAGTTTATATTTGATCCTGAACTCTTCACAGAAATAATCTACCAAAGCATCATCAAAGTTTCTACCACCCAAAAAGGGATCAAATGTAGTAGCAAGTACCTATGAGATTAAGCACAATAATAAGGAATAAAAAAGCAAGCAAAAAAAAAAGACTTGTGGTTAGATAATGCTCATATTATTTATTTCGTGATTGAACTTTTTTATCCTGTTGATCTTATTTGTTGCTTCAACAATTTACCTTCAATTTTCCTTTGTTAAATGCACAAACAGAAATCTGGTAGGCTGAATGTCCCATGTCTACAAAAACTACATTCCTTGGTTTCTCCTCTGGGGCTGGTAGATCCTGTTTATAAATTCCATAGGCTAAAGCAACTGTAAGAATGTAAAAAGTAAATTCTATAGAGTAGAAAAGCTTTAAAAATAACTTATAAAATTATGAAAAACCAAGTAAAACAAAGAAAGCATACTTTTGCAGGATTTTCAATAAGTTCTTCTAACATCAGAAACAATTAGCTTCAAAATATTGGTTTCACTGTAACTTTTGAAACTTTGATGTAACTATTTCTTTTAAGGGAAATGGTTTAATTTTTTTTTCCTGCCAGCCCTTTACCCTTGTGCTTGACAATCCATAGTTGCTAAATTATTTTATTAAATCAGATACGGTATTCCCACATCTGAAGGCTGTACCTAAATATTCAAAATGCCATTTATATTTCTTTTAATACTGTCAAATTATAAGCTAGTCCAGGACATTCATTTCTCTTACTTATGTTCTAATGATATTCATTACAACTCATTGAAATTACTTATAGTTAAAAGTGGCATAATTTGAAGAATTTGCCTTACTCATGCAACTTAAAAACTTTATCTCTTGTAGTCTTTCTTTATAAAAATGGTGAGGAAACAACAGTGCGCATATTTAAGGCAAATGATTTGTGGTACAGTATTAACATCTCATTTACTTAGGCTAAATAAATAAAGCCAGTTTTCAACCTTGAAAACAAAAGCATTATGCAAATTTGTTTATCAAATGCTATCCTAGAATTGTTGTATTAGTCCTATTGAACTTATTGTTCTGAACTTATTGTTCATTAATGTTGCTCCAAGAATTTATAATACTTATTTTAGTAAAAATCACTCATACTGAAGGATAGTTTACTTGTGTGTAAAGATATCCCCGTATTTAGTTGTATCTACCAACAATCTTGCTAGATTGTTATGTTATATAGTTTGACTCTGATTTGAATTTGTTTAAAAAGCAAAACTGCTATATATAACAAGTAAAACGTAAATTTACCTGCTGTAGTTTCATTCATTAGTCTCAGGCAATTTAAACCTGCCACTTGCACTGCTGCTATAACAGACCTTCTCTCGGCATCAGTAAAAAAGCTTGGGATCTGTGGAAAAATATTTTCTATTAATTTCACCATATTCATCTTTCTTATGAATTTTCTACAAGTGGTTTATGCCATTACAAAAACTTAAATTATAATCCCGAAATATGCAGTTTAAATATATTTGTGCCAATTGATCCAATGTTTCAATATTAATAGACTAATTAAAATATATAAATTACACTTATTTCCAACGGATTAGTTTGGAATAATTTTAAGGCTCTGTGGGGCCCTAAGTCTACTTAGTTCTCAATGTTGCAGAAAGGCATATATTTTAGCTGTACATATTTCCTATTTTCAACTGTTGTTCTTTCACAAAATGCCAGGTTGGGAAGAGAAAGGGAGCAGAGTACCAGTCTATATTTCAATAACAAGGATTGGTTCATGAATAGCCCTGCATATATATGGGTAGTTCTTGACTTACGACCACAATTGAGCCCAAAATTTTTAGTGCTAAGTGAGACAGTAAAGTAAAATTTGTTGAGTAAATTTTATCCCATTTTACAACCTTTCTTGCCACAGTTGTTAAGTGAATTACTGCAGTTGTCAAGTTAGTAACATGGTTGTTAAGTGAGTCTGGCTTTCCCATTGACTTTGAGTTTCAGAAGGCTGCAAAAGATGACCACATGACCCTGGGATACTGTAACCATCATAAATATGAATCAGTTGTCAAGTATTTGAATTTTGATCAAGTGACTCTGGGGATGCTACAACAGTCGTAAATGTAAAAAATGGTCATAAGACAGTTTTTCCAGTGCCATTGTAACTTCAAAAAGCCACTAAATAAACTGTTATGAATTGAGGACTATCTATAATGCGTAGAGCAAGCCCCTCTACCTGCAACAAATGTAAACTAATAACTAATTAAGTAAATTAGGTGCAAAATGTAATGTATTATTTGGTAATTGGGTTTCTTGCAAAATGATGTTATCAACGATGTATGTGAGTTTCATGATGTGCTGGCCACAAACAATGAGAGGGAGGGGGCAATGTGAATTACTTTGCCTCAAAGCAACCAATTTTCAACATATGTGATGAACATCCTAAACCTGAATTTAGGCAGACTTCAGCTTATAAAGTATCTACTATGTATGCAACTGTTTACTGTTTACACATTTCATTATCAGTAATTAAGATATCAGAAAATATTATAGAAAACAAAACTTTATTATCTTATAATTTAATGTTATACGCTGCCCAGACTAATGAGATGAGCGGCAAACAAACCAAATCAAATAGTTACTTGATTCATCTACAAAAGTAACTTTGATTTCTCATAGATGTGGCAATCTGTCCACATAGAGACAGAAACATCTATTGGCTGTGGAAATTGTTTACAAAATGACTACTAGGAATCTTGTTTTTACTTATGCTTCAAATATTTTAATACGTTTTTGAAAATTTGCTGTTTTAATTTTGTTAAAATTAAATTTTAATTTCATTTTCCAGGAACATGTTATAATCTAATAATTACACATGTTATATAACATTATTACTTTATAAGTATACCATTATAAAAACTTACGGAAATGACACAATCTGCTACAGGTTTTTTAAGTGCACTTTCTGATGTCTCCTTAAGTTTAACTAATAGCATACCAGTAACTTGTTCAACAGCAAATAATCTGTCTTCATCCAAATATCGTACCTAGAGTTTTAAAAACACCCAGATAAATTAATAACTAATTAGAATACATAGTAGGCACTCATGTTGACAGAGATGTTAAACTCATCATTTTTTCCAGCAACCTCTATTTAGTGAGATACATTAGAACAAGGGTCCCCAAACCTCAAGCCATGGCCCACTATCAGGCCTTGGCCTGTTCAGAACCAAGTGGCAGGTGAGTGCATGAGCAGCTCCACTTGCATAGGCAAGTGTGTACATCTGTGGAGCTCCATTTGTGCAGGTAGTGAGTACATGTGCCTACCGTTCTCGCAAATAGAGCTGCACCTACATTCACCTGCTACTTGTATGTAACTATTCCCTCTCCCCCCTTGTCAGTCCGCAAAGCTGGAAAGGTTGGGGAACATTGTGTTAAAAGGACCAGAACTTAAAATGTATTGTTCTGTGTATTCTTATAGCAGGTATCACAAGAGAAGGTACCATACTCACCTTTACTCCTACACTCCCATTAGGTAATTTCTGAAGCTCATATGGCAGTTTCTCTTTTTCAGACTTTATAAAGGGATCATTAAATGCTCTCCCATGCAGCTTTTTAAATCCATGTAATGTATTCTTAATATTTGTGATAATCTGTCAAAATAATGTAAAGGTATTAATTTTGCATGTTCATATTAAAGTTCCTTTCATCTTACAGGTTTTCAATAGTTTTATTTATTTATTAGTAAAAGCAACATTCATTTCTTATTATGCATTTATAATTCCTTAGTACTGTAAATAAGATTTTACTTTATGCAAGATAAAAATACTTAAGTTAATAGTGTTCACTGGTGATAATATTATCAATGCTTTTGATTTAAAAGCTTTGTGAATAAATTTTCTGATAAAATGTTAAGAACTACTGCTGAATAAAATGATAACTTTTGAAATAATTATATACTTATGTTTACCTGGCTTTTTGCTGCATTTCCAATAGTCCGGGCTTTGGATCCCAAAGATATACAAGCTCTGAAAAACAACAGATACTCTATAAATATGAATGAAGAAATCAAATTGTTATTGATAGGACTGTAAAAGATTAATCAATATGAAAACAGAACAAATGTGAAAGTGGTGATGGTAAAGGAAGAAGGTAACTTGATTCCCAGAGCAGAGATCCCAACTACAAATCATAAGCAACCCGTTTTCAGAGGCAAATCTAATCTCAACAATATTTTTTAACCTTCAGAAAATCAAAAATGACAATACAGAAAGTAGAATTTTCAAGGATTTGTATGAGAATCAGCAATGTAAGTCACTGATAAGTTGCAATGGAACTTAGACTTATATACCACTTCATAGTACTTTACGGCCTTCATTAAGTGGTAGAGTCAGCACATTGCCTCCAACAATCTGGTTCCTCATAAAATAAATGTTTTAACTGAACTAGATTTAAGAATAACCATGAATTATTGAATTTTAAAATGCTTGCAAATTATCCAAGATCCTAAAATTCAAAGCCACAAGTTAAATTCTTATTATTTATTTCTTTATACAACACTGTAAATTCCAGGAGCATAAAACAGCTATCAACCTCCAGTTGTAGCAAAATAGCCTCTTCTTAATAGTAAAGACTTATAAGGCTAAGTGAAAGATCAGTTATTTTGAAGTTGTTTTTCTCATTTTTGGAATACTAGAACACAATGAATGTTGGCCTGATCCAACAAATACATATATTCATTCTCTCTCTCTCACACACACACACACACATGCACACACATTCATGTTTTTGTATACCCAATTCATTATCAGTTTTTGCTAAATTTAAAGAAAATAGCTGGAATGTTTGCAATGACATACTGTTTTTCAAAGGAACAAAGAACACAAAATAAATGTGTGCTTTTGATTACATAAATTTACAATTCTGCTAAATCTACGAAGAGATGATACCTATCTCCTGGTTGTAACCCATAGAAACAGAGAAGAGTGAATAAGTTCTACCAATTTCTGCAATACTGTACAATCATCTATACATCATCTCTTTCTTCCCAAGTACCACCCTGTTGATAGTTAAGTGAGGCAATAGAACAAGAAGTAACATGCAGGGAAAAGGAAAGATTGCTACAAAAACAGATGAAAAAAGATGAAATACTGGCCAACTTATTTTACCCTGTGTATCCTCTCATGTAAGCATGCTTATTTCAAAGGCTGATCTGCAAAACTGGTACATATTACTGTGACCTGAATTGTCCTCAGTTATAATATTTTTAACTGAAAAGACACATTACAATTATTTTGAGCTTCAGAAAGAAATGCTAAATCATGGAATTATTTGCAAAAAGTTAAAGGTGCTTCTGTTTCAATGCTATTGTGATGGATGGATGAAAAATGGCAATGGACAATAGTAAAAAAAAATATGTGGGATTAGTAGATGTCATGATCAATAGGAGTTCTTTTAAGTATCAAATCATAGTTTTTAACAGAGTACAATGTTTTAGATGTGCAATTCTCCTTTTTTTAAAAAAAAAGAAATAAGATGAGAAATGAGATCAGAAGAACAAAATAACACAACAATGGTTGTGTTTAAATAAATAGAAATGTTTCAGTTGGCTCTTATGAAGGCTCATGGTGAATTAGTTCCAACTCTATCAAACTGAAGACTACTGCTAAAGCCAAACTTATTAAAGTGAAAAGAAGAAAAATCTTTCTGGAAAAGAGAGAAATCTTATTTCTCCAAAGCAAATCCTCCAAAACTCTTATTTGATTCAAGAGCAGGATTCTGGAAGTTGGAATTCTAACATACCTGGATATTGTCAGCACTGATGAGAACAAAAATTCAGCACTAAGACACATGTTTTGTGTAAAAAATAGTGCCAAGAAAATGCCAAGCCTTTCTAAGTAAGCCTGATGGAGACACTTCTGGAAAAGTTAGTTTTATCTCAACCTAATGATCTTCCACATTTGGCAGTTATAAACCTATATTTGTCTTACCCAGCAGGACCAGTTAAAGAACCAGTTGGAGTTCAAATACACCCAGCTGACTCAAAGCTGAGCAATGGTTAATTTGACAACACCGAACTACCTCAGTACAGGATCCATCCTCCATGCTGATACATAGCAGCTTCTTTTCCAAGTGTATACTTGACAATGAGCCACGATTTAGGATGTCGTGTGAACCCACCTACTATGGCTTTGTAAACTATAATAACAGCTCATAATCCAGAGAGAGAGAGAGAGAGAGAGAAGCTTGTAATTCTAACCCGCCCTTGCCCAACCTCGCAATTTCCAGGTAAGCAGAGTAGCACCGGTCGTGGGGGAAAGCTCTTTAAAAGGTTTCATGAGGAGGAGGCTGCCGGGGAAGAAGCCAACGGAAAGAGCACGAGCCTCCGTTGATCCCTCCGGAGCGGTGGCTGTCGCCCAAAGCCCGACTGGAAGGCTAAGACTCACGGGGTGCAGCGGTCGCTGTACTCATTGGCGATGGTCTCGATGCCGCCCCTCCGCGCCACCGCGATGTAGCAGTTCTGAAAGCCCAGGTCGATGCCCACCACAGACATGACTGCGGCGGGTGCGGTCCGTTTTCTTCCTCACCCCTCCCTCCGCGTTACCGCGGCGGGCCCCCGCGGGACAGTGCTCGCGGCGGGGAGACGGCACCTCGGCGAGTCGCTCGTTCGCTCGTTCTGTCACTGCGGAACAACAACCGCCAACCGGCACTTTCTCTTCTCTGCGCAGGCGCGGCTAGTTGCCAAACGAGGACGACGCGAAATTCCGAGCTGGGCTTCGGCAGTTTCCGCGCGTCCTCGGTTAGCCTCCAGGAGTTCGAGAAAGATCTGGAATCCTAGTGAGAAGAATGCGAAAGAGGCTTATCTCGGTCGCCCTCTAAGGGCCAGAGTCCGGAACTGCGACTGCTGTCGGAGGTTCTGTTCTCAAATACTGTCAACAGAGGCCCAGGGCGGGAGAAGCACGGAATATGGTTATGGACCAATTTGAAGTCATATAGCCAAAAATTATTAACACCCTACAAATACTTTACTTCCTCTGTATTTTGCATCCCACATTCCCAGATTGAATAGAACCCAGGAAATATGAAATCAACACCAAAAGAATAAATAGATTGTTAAAGATGAACAGTACATATGTCAGAATAAATAGAAATATGAATAATTGTGATTTTTGTTTTCATTTAAAGATGTGAATACCTGCTCATCTTAAAACCAGACTCTGGGTGGCTCATGATCAAAATAATGCGTGGATGTGTTTTTGTGTGTGTGAAGAATGAAAACAGTACAATGGGGGAATTGATTCTGGTCAGGTTCTGGAGAGCCAGTAGCGAAAATTTTGAGTAATACAAAAAATAACACCTCTGATTGGAGATTTTACCGTATCCTTCCCCTGTCACGCCCACAGAACCAGTAGTAAAAAAAAAATTAATCTGAATTGATCATCTTACATTGTAAATGATGAGCATGTACAAGACATGAGTACAGAATATGTACTCTGGCAGATAATTATGTACTATCAAGTTGATATCAATTCGTGGTGACTATATAAATAGATTTTCTCCAGGACAATCTGTCCCTTGCTTGAACTTTCAGGTCTTCCAGTGGTGCGGTTATAACTGAGTCAATCTATTTTTCTGCTTGGTTGTCTTCTCTTTCCTTTCACCTTTCTCAGCATTACAGCTGCTAGGGAACTAGGTCTTTGCATACTGTGTTTAAAATAAGATAATTTATGTTGAGGTGTGCTTGGATCGAGAATTCTGGATGTATGTTTGATAATCCATTGGGGCTTTTTTGGACTGCTGCAATATTCTGTTTTCTCCAGCATCGTATTTCAAAGATATCAATACTCTCCATATCCTGCTTCTTCAAAGTACAACTTTTGCTTCCATAGTGTCAGAGGGAATAACATAGCTTGTAGTATTTTAATATGTATCCTAGGTTTCCACAATTGGTGCAACTCTGCAATTGGTGCATATTGTACAAAAATACAATATTCTCCCATCAGCCATCTTTTCATGTACTGGAGAAAATAAACTGTGATCAGGCAGAAGGCTGTGACTTTGCTGATAACCCACAGCTTTCGGTAATGGGTTTTGTTTCAGATTCTGTTTTTCTGATGCTTTGCGTTAAATATTTTTCTTAAATGGGAATTGTTTTTGTATAACATAGTCTTTGACTTACAACCATCAATTTAATGATTTGAAGTTGCAATAGCCTTGAAAAAATTACATGACCTATCCTCAACGTTGATTGTCACCCCCACTTGTTTACATAATCACAATTTGGGCACTTGGCAACCAACTCACATTTATAGAAACAGAAAACTGATGGCAGAAAAAAAAACCTAGTGGTACATCAAATCTATCCTTTCTTTGTATTGCCAGTTCAAGTTTGCAATATTTTCACACTCAGTTAAATCTATATCAGGGGTGTCAAATTCTCAGCCCGTGGGCCAGATGTGTTATATGCCCCCACCCAGTTTAGTGAATGGGGAAAAAGTCCTGATACATGACATGATGCCGCAAGTTTGACACCCCTGATCTACATTGTTTGGATCATTTGTTCAATCGTGTTATGTAATATATTCAACATCAGAAGAAATGTTGCCTCTTCCTAAATAAATACATATACCCTAAGAATGATGCTAATTGGAGGTGTCAAGGTTTAGTCAAATTATTTTAATCCAGAAAAAGATGGACCTTAGAGAGACATACACCAAGTGAATATACATCATATTGGGCTCTTGCACTCCAATCTGTTTACTAGGAAATAAGCTCTTTATTGGGGCTATCACTTTTGAGCCACAATTAGATATAGCAAATGCTATCTAACTCTTTACTGCCCTTTTTTCAAATCAACCAATTACTGTCTCATAGCGTAGTTTGATTCTAATATGGCACTAGCAAGATGCTATCTGTAACTAATTTAATAGAAGTACTTGTTTGTAAACTCTGTCTTCCCTGAAGACACCCTATGGCCACAGTCTCAAAAAAAAAAAAAAGACTTCAAAGCACTCTTCAGCTGTTGTGGTTAATAAAAGTTTCTCTACAGCTCTTTGTCAAGTATCCTTTCAAGGAAGTTATTATGACAGGCATTTGATCTTTCCCAAATGTAATGTACTTTTCATACTAAATTTAGGAGAAAACAATTCCAGTCCTTATTAGATTAAGTTCTGCAGTATTATATTCCTTATTTGAGGTAGTGTTTATCCTGATTATTTGGATCCATATAATTTTCCTAATTATTAAATTCTACATAATGAAGACTACTAAAATGTGTGGATGAAATTGACCAAATAAATGTTATTTCCTAATATTTGGCTAAGAATTTAAGGAATCTTTTCTGGCAGATGTCTTGTCAATTCTGATTCTATTAATCTATTCTACTAATATCTAGGCTATTTTTTTCCATATATTTGCTTCTAAAAATCTGATACAGAAATTAACAGTAATATTATTTTCTTGAGTGGGTATCATCAATAGATTTTTTTTCTTGGCTTCTAGTTTATGGGTGTCAGCTTAAATGTGCTTGTAGTTTTAAATCTTAGAGGTTCAGATAACTACTTAAACTATGTTCATAATTTTCATAAAGTCTTCTGAACCCCTTCCCACCCCCCAGATCAGCATCAATTGACATTAAGCAGGACACTATTGAAAATATCACTATGGTGACAGAAACATCAAGCTTTCTCTGCAGATTATAATCTTTACTATCTGTTTTACACTGATGACTTTACCTACACAACATTATTTTATTGCTTTAGAAAGGCATAACTGGGATTCTTACATAGTATTAGATTCCTTTACCTAAATATGCCCAGCTTTTGCTTCAATACACTTTTTTTTTTCTCTTCTGTGACACTGCAAAAGGCTAAATTTGTCTTCTAGCAAGAAACTCCTATTATTACTTTGCTACAGAACATTACAGTACATTCATTCTAAGATGCCCTTAATTCAAACTATTGAACAAAATAATCTGAATAAATTTGCACTAACGGGCGCTATAATCTGTCTAAATTTTATTTAGCTTTGCCTGGAAAAGCTCTTATTTCTTCCTAATAAAAAAAGTTTAAACTCCAATGTAAATTACTCGGTTTGGCTCAGAACAAACTCATTTGTCTACTATGATAGGCAACTTTAGCTAGGCAATTCAGTGTTTGTCTCTCCCTCTTCCTCCCAAAGAATTGCTTATCTTCAAGATGAAATCCAGAAATCTTGATTTTGAAGGTAAAGATAATGACTCAAGAAAAAGACTGGAAAGGGAAATATAGGCAAAAGCCTTTTGAAAGTAAAAACTAAGTAAATGTAACCTTTAAATTGCTTTAAAATCATAAACAGTAAATACTACTGACTTGTTACAAAGTGGAATACTAATTAATAAATCAATATTTAAAACAAGAAGACTTTTCTTTCTACATGTGCAATGCAAGCCATCAGTGGGTTTAGTCAGATGTTCGGCCTAGTGAAGGATCAATATGAAGGAATTCCTTGATTTTGTCATAAAGGACTAGCACCAACGCACCACCTGTCCCACGAAGAACATTTGAAAATGCCCCACGAAAAAAGGCTTTTATTCCTTCCTGGCCATATATCTTGATAAAGCAGTCAATGGTTCCTTTATATTGGCGTTCAGTCTCTCCACTCTGAATTCAAAAACATTCAAATATAACCAAAGTTAATGCAAACCATATACACTTGATAAATAGTAAATAATTATTCTGTAATATTTGTTTTACTGAATTATAGGGATACTACTTCAAATGTTGTCATTGTTAAGAACTTAATGAGAATATATTTTTCTGAAGTAGGCTTTTGCTAATACACTTAAAATGTCTATGATTTTCCCATAAGCTTTTCTGTAAACTTCAGACTTAAATGAGGTCATTTCAAAGGAAATTTTAAAAACTGCTAATTTAAAAATTGTGTTTTTAAATGTCTGGTTTTGGTACAGTGTTATTAATTTTCATGGTTTCTCATTATTGGTAAATATCAATCTGATATCAATAATCAAATACCAAATATCAATCTTAAATTTTCCTAAATTTCTGTTGAGAAGGGATGCTGTTATTTGAGAGGCTGCCACAAAGAAGAGGGAGTCAACCTATTTTCCAAAGAATCAGAAGGTAATACAAGAACCAATGGATGAAAACTAATCAAGGAGTGAAACAACCCAGAAATAAAAGATAAATTTCCTAATGGCGAGAACAATCAACCAGTGGAATGGCTTGCCTTCAGAACTTGTAGGTGCCCCATCACTGGAAGCTTTTAAGAAGAGACTGGATAGCCATTTGTTTGAAATGCTATAGATTCTTCTGCTAGAGCAGGAGATTGCACTAGATCCAGGTCCCTTCCAATTCTGTCATTCTATGTTCTATGTTTTTGCATCAACTGATTATAATTCTGCAGTGTATATTTAAAAGATGTTTAAATGATAGCTCTATGGTAAATAAAAAAACTGAAAGACAGTTGTGTTTTTTTTTATTTTACAAAAACAGATTTTATCCAAATTTATCTATTTACGTATTATGAATCATTCATACAAAATACATATGCATACATATCCTTAACTTCCGTCTCTTGCATACCACCTTAGCCACCCCTTCAAATATCTCAAACATATACAAAAACTATTGAGGACGGAATTTACCAATTCATCAAAATGTATTATTAGCTAATATTGTCTCATATTGCTTTGATTCCAACTTTGGCGACAAATAATCTAATAACTGCCAAAATAATTGGATATAACACATGATAGAACATCATATTATATTCTGAAATTCCAATGTTAGCTATGTCAAGGTTGTCTACAAATTATAGCTAGGTTATAAATATCAATATCCCCATTTGAAATTATAATTGCATGCGAGGTATAGACCAATGTGTATGTCATATACACAGGCTACCTTAGTAACAGAATACTTGCTTGCAGAAGGTTCCAGAATCTCTGTAGGTGTAAAAAAGATTCCTGCTGAGATTCTGAAGAACTGTTGCTCAAATAAGTAGACAATATTTAGTTAGATAGACCTGTGGCTTTATTCAGTATTATATTTTAATATAATATTTTCTGATAAGAAGAGAGATATGAAATAAGTAGTATCAAAACAGAATGATGTAGCCCTGATAGTCACAAGGACATTCACATGTTTTCTAGATGAATTGCTTACTTGCATCATCATGCGCCTTCTGACAGTGTCAAATGGATAGGAGAGTATCCCAGAAAATACTGTTACCACTTGAGCAATTGCAAAAGATAAAAGGAATGGGGTTTCTTTCGGATTTGGTAGCATTCCCTAAGAAGGAACAGAAAAATTAATCATTGGCTTGTATTCAAATATTTAAATTTAAGCATGAATGAAGTCATATTTACATAGAAAAAAGTTATATCTGTTCAGAGTATTTTGACAAATCATTTTACATTATTGAATTAATTTAAAATATTTTTCATCTTAGGTTTTAGGGTGTCAGACAAATTAAACAGGAAGAATGTTTCATATGAAAAACTAAGATACAGT